TCATCGACCACATTGTTTAACACATAAATTATTGAAAAGGAAGCAAACAAAGAACATAAAGCACAGTGTATAATCAGCCCTACACAAAGGAAGATGTGCTTACCATATCTATGAGAAACTAGCCTTGAAAATAAGGAAGCCCGCAAGTTCAATTTAAGATAATCATCTAGAAAATCTGTTCCGACAACACACGCAAAGACTATTATGGTACCTTCTTAGGGAATGCAGATTCACAATTATTACTCAATAAATGATGTCTTCCTTGTCGTGTTCCTCACGCTGCGACAATCTCCTGTAACGCACGTTTCTTCGATGATGACCTGGAGCCCGTCCTTCAAAAACGAGACCTAAAAACCTTGCATTAAAAAGAGCAGATTCTTTCATACAAAATAAAAACTATAAGCCTCTGGACAATAGCAAGTTCATACCCATTTGGAAGTACTAGTCAAGTAAGCCCGTATTCTTACGTAGCTTTAAGTTTTCATTGAAACCAGAGAAAAAAAAACAGAAAGTTTGAGTTATTCACTCACTGCAATTGAGAAAGTTGCCCCTAGTTTTCGACCATCTTGTCGCTTCCACCCCCCTCCCCCCGGCGATTTTGAAAAAAGAATTATTGAGCCAGTTTTTAACGTCTTCATTGCTGATCCCACATCGTAAATATGGCTCGATTGTGAATGGAAAAGAAAATATAGCTCTCGTTAGTGCAAAGTCCGGTGAGACGATATGCGCTAAAGACTAGGGGTCAGATGGGTAAGAAAATTTTCTTTGCTGAAACTTCTTCTATGGGAGTGATCGAAGGTCCTGCTCACGAATATGACATGCATTTGGCGCTGGCGCCAAACGGTCCAATGGGCTAGATGGCGCCACGCCTGATACTCACCAAATTCGCTGCAAACTTGTGGTGGCGTTATATAGGGCCATGATAACGAATATGACATTTGTTTTTGTTGTACTCCTTATTCCAACCTATTTCTTGCTCGTCTGCGCCCTCCCACTAATTAGTTCGCAATCAGGACCAAGCGAGAAAAGGGCACCGAGGTGAGTAAGGCACTCACCCTGTGATCCCATATACACCAACTTCTGCCGCACGGTGAATAGTTTACCTACCGAAGTCTCACTTCCCCAGGCTTAATTTTAGGCGCTATGTGAGAGAGCCTAAGCAAGCTGAAAATAAGCATTAAACAGTGCGAATGCCAGAAATGAATTTCATATTCATTTCTAGCATTCGCACTTTAATGCTTATTTTATTAGCATATTAACTGAGAAAAATATGTTGAGCCTTAACTAGACTATCTATAAGGAAAGATTGTTGTACTGTTGCTCATTTATCGTTGTTTCCCACGACTGCCTTGTGCGTCGTTTCTGATAAATAAAAAAATAAAAATGTTCGTAAACAGGACCCCAAATAACCCCCATACACAAGTTTACAACGAATTTAGAGGAAGAAACTGTGATGCCAACAGGCGCCAGTTTGGCCGCAGGGCCAAAAGTGGATGTCATACTCGTGATCAGGAGCTTCTATAAGCCCCATAGTAAAGCTCCAGCGAAAATTTTTTGACCCATCTTGCCACCGGAGTTGTAATAGTGCAATAGTGCTCCGTCTTCTATCTTAGCTTCTATTTCTAATACTTCTATTCTATTTGGAGAGCTACTTAGACAAGCTCTCTATCTTAGCATTTGAAGAGCTACTCAGACAAGGACTGCCAATGAGTAGAGCGACCTCGCCTCGTCGACTGCGCTTTTAATCGCAAGGCCGCGCTACTGACAGAATCATATATTTGAACATTCTTACTCGCCGTCGTGTTCAGGTGTTGAGCTCAGAACGTTTTCGGTCTCATCAAACGTTCATAATCTTACCAGCAGTGACGTCAAGAAGCGGTTAACCCACTCCAGGGGGATCAACGATTGAGCACCGAGCATCTATTGTTTTCTTACCCTACACAGAACAAATGTTCCAAAACATTTGTAAAAACTTTTTGGTCTTCATGAAGAAAGAAGAATAAAAGGAATGAAATGTTCACTACTACCCCTAGATAAAACATTTTCTATCTACCCTTTCTTGCAAAAAATGAGGATATTGTCGGATGCAGACATACACCAAAGTGATGATGGCCTCCACAAAATGGGAATGTTTTCTGCCGAAGTAATGACTAGCCTGTTACAGTTGTATTCTGTCAGCTGTAACTAATTACAACCATCAATATCGAAATTCAGCCATCACTACGAACCACTACTAACCGAATTTACTTGGGGACCGTCGTCACTTGTGGTGTATGGCTTGCCTCCGACACCAGGGTGAATATCGGCCAAGGAAATCCGGAGCGGTTGTATCTGTCAGAGTGGCTCATGTGGGATCGTACTCACTGGGGTCAGTAACATCAGATAAGAGAGAGGGCGTAGCGCAGCAGAAAATAAGAATATATGAGAAAACATGACATAAAATATTCTTTGCAGGTCCAGTCGCCCCATTCCTTTACCTTTATGAGAAGGACATATTTGAAAGCAGTACAAGGAATGAAAAAGCATCTCCGCAATGAGTACGCATGCTCTGAAGGCACCTCCTTTATTTAGGCCCGTTCTCTCGCCCTTAATACCTCGTTGAAAATGAGGTAGTTGATAGGGAGCTGTCGCAAACCGGCAAGAGTTCTGGAAAGACCATGGGCGAATGAAGCTGTTTCTTAGGTTACGGAAGTTACGGAGTGTCTTATCTACAATACAGTTTCTGTCACCGGTCATCATCATATGTATAACACCTTTCAATAGATTCTACAACTTGAGTGGAGGTCGGATGCATGGCCTATACTGAGACGAGATCAGACGATGACGATTGCCAGTTTCTTGTCGCTTATGTTGGGAGAATTTATTCTAGACACATTTCTGCTATCATCTGTTAGAAAGCGCAAACCTTCCGCTTTCGAAACTGTCTTCGTTTCCCGAACTTCTTCGCGAAATTAGGGAGATATTGCCTTTTAAGTGGCAAAATTTCGCTTGAAAAATCCCGCATCCTCGACGCTCCCTCGACAAAATTTGAGAGACCCTATGTCTTCGAGTGTAAAGCTTTTAGACCAATTTCAATATTGCCCGGTAGAAGCACAGCCTGATGTAACGCTACCATACACTGCTCCAAAATTGTGAAATGGGGAAATGGAACCTTTTCATCGAGAGTGTAGATTTCGACGTTTTCGAGAGAGGTTTCGGCAAATATGACCCGCGGATAGAACGCGCTGCAACCGAACGCTTTGCTGTGCATTGATGGAACTGGCTTATTCACAACATCAAGGTAAACTTAGAGGGGTCGTATCAAGACTCCGATCTAAGGAGGAGGGGTTCGTACTGACCTGACCACGTCCTCGACACGATTTTCACCCTGCCCGACATTCTCTCCGTCTTTGAAAAGGAGGGCAGTGTCTTCCAGTTGGAAGAGAATGCTTTTGGATTGGAGTAGTTTCACGGATTAAATACGCATCGGTCGAGTTCAAACACAGAAGCAAGAACTTATCTACCTATCTTGACTCTGACTCTAACTCTGAAACAACTCTTCTGTTACAAGGATGGCAACACTTTAACTCTAACTCTGAAACAACTCTTCTGTTACAAGGATGGCAACACTTTCCTTGATATAGGGATATTATATAAAGCGTTTATGTAGTTATGAATGACGCATAAGCGCTTAGAAACCAGTGCAGCACATAATGAGGGTTCGCGAATGATGAGGACATTTCTATCGATATTTGACGTCCTTAAGCAGAGATGAGGACGTGTTTTGCGAGGCGTAGCCCAAGCGTATTACGAAGAAGTAATAAAAACATACTATAATGGAACGTATTCCCGCCCTTCCTAGCTTTCATCTACTTTTCTCAGAATATCGGCAACTTCGATTCCACGATTTTAGCTACTTCCACCTCGGTAAAACCCAACCCATCTACCATCTGAGCTTTCATCCTGACCGCTGGTCTCACTGAGGCAATGTAGAGAAAACATTTAATGCAAGCCATGTTAGTTTCGCGTAATGGAAGTAGTTTTGCTTTCGACCTCAACGCGAGCAGAACTAACCAAGAATCTTCTTCTTGTTGTGGTGCAACAAGTACAGGCAGAATACCAGAAGCCCGCCTACCACAATAAATGTCATGAAATGCGAGTCTTCCGACTGATCGAAATCAACATGCGTTTGGATCTGAAATGAAAGCATACAGTTCAACCTGCAACAGTTCACATGCTTACTATACCCTTTATTTGCTGTCTGCCGGTCAATAGTGAAAAATTACCAGAAAACGCCGTTAAAATTAAGGAGGGACAGAATATGTGCCAAGAAGTAGGAGCACATATGAACTGAACAAAGCTGCTCTCATGATGCAAGGGCGTGCATCGAATTGGGTGGTGTGCGAGTCGAAAGATACGTTGCAAATTTGGGAAAGATCAAGCGATTTCCACAAAAGAAACCTCAAGAAACTGACTGTCAATTGGTTTTTGGCCGCCAGTGGAAGTGACCCACAATGTGAGCTGAACGCGCTTGAGAGACGCGGAGATAGCTAACAGATCTACGATAGATCCAAGGGCAGGTGAATAGTGCGAAAAAGTCGAGGGAATCAAAAATTCGTAGCGTGATTATGAGACCGATCGGAATGACGATGGTGAAAGAGATAGAGTGAAAGGATTCCATCCGCCGTAGGCAGACCATGCTGCTCTGACCCCGCTGCCGTGGGTAGAGCGAGCGCCAAGGTAGGCGAAGTCGAAGTGAGAAGCCTTTGAGCGCGGGTGTCCACCTGCTGAGAGTGGAAAATGCCGTCAAATTACTAATTATGAAGTTTAGAATTCATAATTGGACCGCAATATATCCAAGATGGCAAAAAACTGGGAAGCCGATTAGAGCCCAACGAAAGGAAGTGGATCAACGGTATAAGGTATGAATATCTTGTCAACAGCGAACTTTATAAAAGTCGTGCGAAAAATATCGCGCACCAGCGAAACGGTGGTCAACAAACTATATTCAAAAAGGAATATTAAACCTTATTGGGGACAGGCGGAGCAGGTATGTTCCCTTTGGCATCTTCAACCATTGCACCGAGCTGATTCTCCTCTTTATCCTTTCCTTTCACAGGTTCGGTGTCCTCTTTAGCGACGCCCTCACCAGCCGTTTCGTCGTCTGCTGGTGGGGCAGCATTCGCTGCTTCGTCGACATGAGCATCAGGATCCTGAGACATTTGCGATCATGTTATCCTGCTAAACAACTATGTAGGCGCAACAGAGACGCCATCAACCTGTCAGTATTGAGGCTTTCCGTTCATCCAGACCTTCCCATGATGCGTATGCATACGTAAGACTTTACCTTTTCCAAAAACGAAACTCAGTGAAAAGGACTAAAATAATAAAGTAGCCTTAATAATGGTTCAGTACCTCTTCTCCCTTTCCACCTTCATCTTGCTCATTACGGTCTTCAAATTCTGGGGCAGCCACACTCGGAGTGGTGATGTTCTGAGCACGGAGTTCCTAAACATTCACTGGTGCTGCCCAGCAACGCAGAGTACTCACTGGCATCCGTACTCCTCAGGATCGAAATACAATCGCTACACACACCCCAGAACCCACAGTGAAAATGCCACATGCAGTGTGCATATAGTCCAATCAAACAAGATCAAAGTAGACCTACACACAAAACTGCAAATAAGGATTAATTACTCACAGCAGCATTCGTGGCGGAAACGTTCGCCGGAAATGAAACATGTTCAGTACTCTTCGACTGAACGGAATGGCTGCTCTGCACCACTGCGACTGTTGCACTCACTTCATAGAAAAATTGTTTATGGTAGCAACTCAATCAAACATGTAAAATCTATGAAAAGCATCTTACCACCCGACGATATTGTGCCATTCTGCTGGAGAGTCGCTGACTTTTCAATTGATGTTGCAGATCTTTTCAGAGGTGTTGTAGATTTTGAAGTTGCGCGTTGTTGCAATGGTGGAGGTATTTCCTCGACCGGATGAAAACCTAAATATACCGATCAAATGAAATTGCGCTAGAAATCTGCACCCATCCACTTAGGCGTAATGGAATACACACAGGCTAGGAATATTGTGCGTCCATAAAAAATCTCGCAAGATAAACGCGAAGTTGCTGAAAAATTGCACTCATCCGGGGTGGATTACGCGTGACATTACGAGAGCCGAAGTCCCTCAACACCAACATTAAGCTGAGCATTCCTGAGAAAGAAGAATAAATTATCGGTTTTCTCATATGGGATGCCAAGTCACGGAAGATCACAAACGTGGGAGTTGATCATTCTGGGTAACAATGCTAGTGTCAGGCGCCGTTCATAGTTCAATACTTCGCCTATTGGGGCGATGAGGCGATTTGTAGGGAGCAATCATTTTGTGCTCCTACGACTAGTATAGGGCGCCATTCGTTGCGGGACCCACTGCCTCAACCCGCGGGATCCTAAGCGATCGCGGTTGGATTCGAACATTTCAGCTTCTCACGCATGTCAAGTGACTGCCCTCACCCCCCACCCCCTAGACTGGCTACACTGCCCCCTCTCACGGAACCCCGCTCCACATTGAAGCGTTCACTGTAGCAGGAGGCAGTGGGACCCGTAACCAATGGCGCCCTTTACTAGTCAGTAGGAGTACAAAGCGATCGCTCCGATTTGTAGCACGTTGCAGAAGGGACGCACGCACCGCGACGCGTCAGTCTAACTTATCAATGGTGAAAATGTAGTTCGGGAGGGGCATCCTATCTAATCGAAGTGAAGCTGCGAAAGACACTCATATCTAATCAAAGTAGAGTTGTGGGAAGGCACTTATATCTTATCATATCTTTCACTAAAACCGTGACCACTCTAGTACGCTTGACCTTGTCATATGGTCCGGGACTAAAATGGCTGCTACCCTGGTGGCTTCTTACTTTCATCAAACCTTCTTGCGACTTCCATGCAAGTCCTCGAAGAAAGGACCTCCCAGGTATCCGTTTTGTATGGAACCACGGATTGGTATCCCTATCTAATCTATACTCAGAGACTGTGCTCTGGATGGCGATTAGATATGACCGCCCTACTGCAGCTCCACTTCGATTAGATAGTGCCAGTTCGATTTTAGATATTATGAGTGCCCCCCCCCCAAACTACATTTTCACAGTTATCAATGTCAAAAGGATTTACTAAAAAGCAATAATAGCAGTAGCCGCAACAAAAATAAAGGTTGCTGATTGAGCCATGTACTTGAATCTCCTCTATAGACACGTATTCAAATCCTTTCACGCTTATCGCCTCAATGCCCCAACGCATCTTCGCCTCGCGCGATCGCTGAATCGCAGACGCTATCTCGCACGTGACGCTATAGCGCGGAGCTCAGTCGATCGATGTGCACTAACTTCGTTTGATAGAATCGCTTGATCGCACCATCGCCTCTTCGCATCACAGCCGAAGTCTCGAGCTATGTACGGGGCTTCACAGTCCACGAAGTTCAAAATAGCAAACACACGATCAGTACTGCAAAGTGCTGTCCAATCCCCCGCCATTTATGCTCAATGGTGATGGCTAAATGACAACTATTCATGATTCTACTTGTTTCATATTCAGTGTTTAAATGTTCGAATGGGGAACTTGCGATTTTTGCAATTCGCGCGGAACGCACGAAATCTGACCATGGACTGTGACACCAGTCTAATTGTAAGACAAGCTCAGAACTTTGAACGAAGGAACTTCTGTTCACCTATCATATTTGCTATATTCAGAACTTTCTTATTTGTCTTGAACTGTATATTTGTGAGTCTCCTTGTGTCAAAGTTCATCATCATAAAGACTTTTAATAAAGCGTGAAAAGGAAATTTCAGAGTACGATACGTCGAACTACACCTCATTACAAATGGCCGGACAAACCAATCACCATTCCCTGTAGTAGATCACAAGTAATTGAATTCCTGCCGTAGAATTTCCACAAACCCTGACTGTTAACACATAGTCGATTTCACATCGCACTTCATTCCTGACTCTCTTCTGGCTCCGCCCTAGTTGGCAGCAGTGGTCCGGAAGTTGAGCTTCACCCCAGTTTTCTCTTCGGATTTCCCAGCATCTCATCCATGGTATTATATGATCGCACACAAAACACATATGGTCGGTATAGGACATTGCGAATCCAGCGATTCAACTGTGTACTAACAGATCGAACGACTGATCAGCGACTCAACACTGTTTGAAAGTGACGGGACTCAACGTTCCAAGGAAGCCCACCACTTTCAAACAGTGTTGAGTCGCTGGCAAACAGTTCGATCCGCTGGTAGATGATTCGATACGCTGGAACACAGCTCGATTCGCTGATGCAACGTTCGTACCCAGCAAATCGAGCTCTGTACCAGCGGATAGCCGGATTCGCAAAGTCTGACATCGGGCATACGAAGTGAAGAAGGCCACGTAGAGCAAAAATAACTTAACAAGTACCCATCTCATTTGGATTCAAAAGAAGCAATAAAAAAAAGGGCGCTCATCCGGTAGGCATTGTGATGCAACGTCTAATAGCTGCCCTCACGCCAGAGTCTGCTCGCGGTACACCCCCCCCCACCCCTAACTGGCTTCACTCCCCTGGCTCACGGGTCCCGTACTTCGAGGACCTGTGCGCCCGGGGAGTGTAGGCAGTCTAGGGTGGGGTGAGGGCAGCCACTTGATGCCCCCCCCCTTACTCAGGGTCAAGCGAGGCGTCGAGGAAAATTCGGAATACGCCCCCCCCTCCCCCTCCCTCTGCCGAAGGCCATCCAGAAACAACCCTCTTTAAAACCGAACTATGAAAAAGTTGTTTAATTCTTCACCAAAACTGCTCATAAAAAACGCCTGCTATCTCATCGTCCACAACAAAACTCGTTTAAAAAGTATAAAAAGTGAAAAAGACAAGAATGATCATTAATGACGAGTCCTGTCACACGAGCAAACGAGAAACGGAGCAAAAAAGTCAAGCTAGTCACTAGAAATGGCGTACCATGACAACACCTCTTCTTTCTTTATTTCTCCACACAAGACTTACCTAATTCTAGTACTACACAGATTAATAGTTTCTCATTTACACGTCCTTTTCGCTCAAAAAGCCTTGTAAAAGCCTCCGCCAGCTGTGTTGTTGACTGGACTTTGGCATTGACCGTGGAGCAGCTTATTTACCATTGAACTTTAACCAAAATTCAAATGATTATAACTTTCTTCAAAGTTAACGACTTTTCAATCCGAAATCTGATTTGGGAGTTTTGTGAAGAGCTTTCTCTAAACTGCACTGAAATTACAGGAAGTTATAAGAAATAACAAATCTAGATCAAATAACGAGGAAAATTCGAGACGAGCACGAGTTTTTACACTTTCCGGAGCAATAACTTGCTTCATTTCCGTCAAATTCAAAAAAATTGATACGTCGTACAAAACTAGAAGATTTCCTCTATCGAACGGTCGCTAAAGCAGCTTCATACGTCCAGTACTCAAAAAATGGCCACGTTGAGGATTTTTTTAACGAGGAAATTCGTGATGAGTGCGTGTTTTTACGCTTTCCAAAGCCATAACTCCTTTCAAACTCATGCAATCTGGAAAGTTGATACGTCATCATAAACTAGAAGATTTGCTCTTTCTATAGGCAACTAAAACTGCTAAATACGTTCACTATTTAAAAAATGGCCACGTTGAGGATTTTGCCCGAGTACCACCGAAAGGTACTTTTTCGCTACATTAGCACTATCCCAACGACTATAACTCCTTGCAGGAGCGATTACACACTGAAGTAGGAGCAGAAAATCCTCGTGCTTTTCTCTCTGCAAAAAGTGTAAAATTGTTTAGCGTGTCTCAACTTTAAAGATTACATGCTTGTGAATTTGACGCTGAAGGCTGCGTTTCTTGTTGAATGGTGTACTCCTCTCTGTAATTTAACATGAACTCTTTCAGAACCCTGTTGATTCTTCCTGAATTAAGATTCGTTATCAAGATAGCCTCAGCTGAAGCGCGCGCAACCAACTGGGCCCACTCTGGGATGCGCCGTGTACTTCACATCTCGTTGATTTGAGGACCTACTTGAAAGATAAAATATCCCTAGAAAACGTGCGAATTTCGGATCATTTGACTTGTGTGGTGATGAAACACTAAAGTCACTAAGAATTGCTAAGCGGACACTTCTAAATCACGAAGATTTTGTGTGGACGGAATCAATAGTTATTGGAAATACTCTGGCCTGGTATCGATTCGATCCATAATGTTTGTCCTCCGACGATGATCCTACTGTATCAATCGAGCCCGATCTCTCCCCAGCGGGCCAATACGACCCCCCCCCCCTCTGTGACATGTCGAGGATTCCTCAACGTACGCTTGACCCTGCCCTTACTGGATGAGCGCCAAAAAAAAGTAACGAAATCCGACCTAGGAAAAGACTGCCCAACCTACTGACGCGAAAACTCACGTTGAAAAAGCTCACCTTGTACAAAATATGATGACAAAGCAATCAGTAGCGTTATTCGGACACGATAATCCATAGGATCTGAAAGTTCTTATGGAGATTTTTTTTCAAGAAAACCATTTGCAACAGTTAGTCAGACTAGTCAACCCCCAATACGGGAAGAAAAAGCTTATAAGCGCCACCTGTATTTCGTTACAAATCCTACCTAAAACATCTCAAACCAGGAGCTATTAGACAAGCGTCAAGGGATAAAAAAGTGAAACGGATATCGGCAGTCCCCAACAAATCATTCTGCAGGTCTGGCCTGCACCAAAATATGTCTAAGGCCGACATATACTTTGCTTCGCTGTATCCGGGCGTTGCGCCAGCGAACCAAACTTTGCACCAGCGAGTCGAACTATGTACTAGAGAGTCGAACGAAGTACCAGCGACCCAATAGTGGCGGAACCCAACATTCGAAGGAGCCCGCTACTTTCGAACAGTGTCACGTGACAGTGGACCCTTTTTGAAAGTGGCGGGATTTGACAGTGGACACTGTTTGACAGTGGCGTGCTTTCTTTGAAAATTGGGTTCCGCCACTATTGAGTCGTTGGTACCTAGTTCGACTCGCTGGTACATCGTTCGATTCGATGATGCAACGTTCGATTCGCTGGCGCAAATGCTCGGACCCAGCGATTCGCTACGAATCGCTCGATTCGCAAACTATGGCATCGGCCTGAGGGATACAGCCGATTGGCGACCACACCCATTTCGAAGCCAGTCCCCTTTCTAGCGGCTTATAAGGTGAGTTTTTTGTTCAGTCACACTTTTTATGTTCTTGACTAGGGCTAGTGCATCGTTCATCAATTAGTGTCAAAGGTAAAACACTGCTGGGACTGTTGCTTTTATAGTATGGTACCCTATTATTGTTTGCATCTGTGTTGTTTTTATTTGCTTGTTCACTTCAAAATAGAATCCGAAGATTGTGAACTAGACCGAAAATTTGTGAAGTTTAGGAAGCCCTCTCCTAATTAGAGCATATCTAACCCCTCCATAGACCACGCCATTTATACTTACCATAATGTGTTGCCCGTAGAACAATCACTTCATTATATAAACCACAACCTTGGTGTGTATTCATTTTGTCCATACGGATCAACCGCTAACAGAACCGGGGATTTCGAAGGACTATACTTCGTATTGTTGATGTCACGATTATGATAACACCTACTGCGGCTATATAAGCGAAATCGAGCACATTCAGTCCCATTCTACATGCCGCTGCAGTGGCAGCTGGAGGGGAGGAAGTAGAAGGGAGGAGCAGGGAAAGGGGAGGGCAGGAAGGGGGAGTGGGAGGAAGAGTGAGGTAGGGAGGGGGAGAGAAGGGGAGGGAGGACATGATGCTGCCGTGGCAGCTGGAACGCAAGAGGGGAGTCTAGGAGGGGTGGGAGCGGGTGCAGGGTAGGAGAACAACCGCTTTCAAGAGGAAGGGCTTTATCTGCGTTAAAGTGTTGCTCTAACGTGATGTTGCGATCCTGATAACACCCATGGCCATATAAATACTAATCGAGCACACTCATTCTCATTCTATTATACACAAGTGGAAGAAATATACATAGTGGAAGACGTGAAGCTTACCCAGGGAAGCAACATCCCAGCGGTTGACGGGGGACCAATCTGGTAACAATTAGTTTCGGCAATGTGCGAGAAAATGGGCATCAAGATATACCCACGTCAGAATGTTCCATGCGGCCTCAAATGTCCGATGTCCGATGCGTGCGCGTTAGCCTATTGTCAACGTGTAAAAAAAGGGATTCCATCTTTTCGAGAACAGCAGTTCTTGCGCAAGGAACAATGTATGGTGATGGAAAGTGGCGAAAAAGTCGCTTTTTGTTCTAGTGAACCACACCCTAAGCTGCTTTCATAGTTCGAACGTCCATACGCTGCGATTCAACCAGCCGCTAGGAATAATAGTGCAATCGAGCAGCTGTTGCAAGGTTGTATGAGATCAATCCTTTTCGTGTGGCGGGAACCCGGCAGTAAGTAAGAATGCGAGAGCCAGAGGGCATGGGGGCAATCTAGAGGGGGGGGGGGTAGGCCACTCAACCTGCAGCAAAAGTTTGGGCCTTAGTGTGTGGTGTCTGGCCTCATGAAGGAGACGCAGAGGAACAAAAGGATTAGATGTCACAACACCCTGTTGCAGGGGCAGCCGGACCTTTCCGCGTTTTTCGAAGAAGTCATACGAATCTATTAGACTACTTCAAAATAAGCTTCTACACAGGCGCTATCGCATTTGCCACTATGACCTATTGCCAGTTTGAGTTCAGCGAGGTTTCGACGGATCATAGATCGTACTATGCCATCTGATATGCTGGCCGGCAGAGTTTGTGCATCATGGGGACTACTTTCTCCCGGGAACTGTTCATCGGTGAATCGACAGCAGTATCAGACCCAGATCCAGGCTTCAGCAATTGCGGTGGACATCTCAGGAAAATGTTGACGTAAAACTTCCATTGACGGTGGCACCATGCTTGGAAAAAAATTGCCTAAGCTGCGCACTCTTTGCCTGCTATTGCATTTGTGCGTGAAATAAGCTGAAAGTTTGAAGCCTTCTACATTTTCACAAGGATAAAAGCAGCTTCAAACTCGGTTCCCGAAATGAAGATATTTCAAAATATTTCTGGTCCTGAACCTTGTGATTTCACAGCCAGAAATTACGATTGTTTATTACAATACATTTGAAACGATAAAATATTATTAGTATGTACAAATACAATCGCTCAGACAGTGACACAATTCGATGCAAATACAGTTTAGAAAAATAGCAACTATTTGTGTTACGAGATCAGTTCCTATTTATGCAGCATAGTTTTTACTGCAGTACGTAGTTCCAAAGTAAAAGTCTCTGAAAAAGTTCGACCTTATGAACAAGAGAAAACATGCAATCATGACAAAGTCGGCGTTCAGAGCGAAGAATGAGCCATAGGGATGTAGTTCACTAGGACATAAAGCAACTTTTTCACGTTAGCGCGCGAAACATTTTTCGCTGCAGGAATTCCAGGTCCACCCACGATCAGCGGAGGTCCTCAGGTTCCTGCAGCGAAAATGTTTCGTGGTGCAAAACGTAAAAAAGTCGCTTTCTGTCCTAGTGAACCACACCCATGATCCATCGGAAGTTATACAAAACGCATGCATCAGAAGGCTGTACAAGTAAAGAGTAAGGAGAAGAGTAGGGTGTTAGGTCGAACTCCAATGTAACACTTACAATGAGTAGAAGCATGGTGAGTTGGCTACAAATACTGGAGAGCAAAGTTGAGACTACTACACTAGAAAGTGCATAAAAGCTGAATAGGAAAAGTAGTTGCTCATAGAGAGATCCATGGGTATGAAAAAAAAAAAAAATGTTGGCTTGACAACAACACTTCCGTGGATTTGAAGGAACTGTTCATGCATTATTATTTGCTTGGATTGCTACACCTAAGGTACTTTGGATGGTATTGCTCGACCTGTCCCACCATATTTATAGATAAATCTGAATTAATACAAAGCACTTAAACCTCACAAGTGGCAAATGTTATAGCAGAAGGTAAGGATCGAACCTGTGAGTGATGAAATCAAACTCTGGAACAGGTAAGTTCAGTCATCTAGAATGGAAGCAGGAAGACGAAGACGTTCTCACTATATTGCCTCCGTTGAAATAATGAGAAGGCTCTCCACGAAGTACCTTCTGCAGCGATTCGTTCATAAAATATTATTCGAAGGTGATCAAAGATTTTATATTAACTGTGTTAACTTATCACTTATAAGCCCCAAATTCTAATTCCACCCATAATTGCAATAATTAAGAGTAAGGGAATAAATAAAACCTCAGAAGAGGACTGAAAATACTAAAGTTTAGCAGTACCATATAAGTAACCACTGCCGCGAATGAGGGTTAGATGATCCACGTCTGAGGTAGGCCCGTAACTATGGGATTTGACAAGAAAGTGTCTTGGACAAAGGAGAAAATAAGACTAAACCGTTATGAGAAAGCTGTACGGAACGAACGACGTTCATTACTTGGACAATAAATAAACAATGATAAGGCCAGTCTACCAGAAAGTAACTATAAAAGGATGATTTCAACATGATTTCGACGGCATGTATAGTGTCATCAACGAAAGATGTAATAAGTAATCAAGAAACTAAAATCCAACAGATATGATAATGGACAAGAAAAGTTAAGTCATTCTATCTTACTATATTTTCGATACTTGCGGAGTCTTTTATAGAGGAGGCGTAGTGTTGGCGTGCTTTGCGGTTGCGCCTTCGAAGCGCAGGGCAAGGTAGGTATCAGTGTGTTGTTGAGATGCGACGCGTTCGGGAGATCCCGATAATATTACCCGAGTCGAACAACTGAAGAATTTGATGAAATTGCGCATGCAAAGACAATGGTGACCAAAATGCGGTATACTACAAAAACCATTTCCTTATTTTAATAAACCGTACGTTCTGGGTTTCTTTAGGTTTTGTTTTTTGGTAGTGTGATAATGGCTCTGTGAAGACTCTCAGTCTGTGCGAGGTCCGCTTCGAGAATTTTCTCGTTTCACAGAATAGAGTAGGGATCTCAAGGAGCTATAGGGAGGGAGTGAATATTCTCTGTGATCGCTCTGCGTAATGTGTAGAATGTTTTTGAGATATAGGTTGAGATGTGAGTGGCTTGTGCCGTGTATATACGTCTGTCTGGCATGCGACACGCTCACTTATTTAGTTTGTGAACAACTTATTACCTTGGTATAAGTTTATTTTGTTTGTGTTAGCGAATATATGTTTTATCCTATGCTATTATTTTTTTGCGCTAGTAACGCATTTTTTTTAGATAGATAATGAGTGGCTGTTCTAGGGGAAACAACTGGGCGATGGCGAAAGCGTTTTCATTTATTTATGTTTATGAAATTGTTCAACATATAATTTTAAATTATTATTTTGAATATAAGGCATCTTTTTCCTATCCGATAAACGCTTTGGGGTGTGAGGTATTGTGTTAAACATTATGCGGAGAAAGTTCACTGGGATTGTGGCTGCGATGATAGCAGATTCTCGTGCGGTCTATTGCACAAGACCATGGTAGGTCGCGATTTGCGAGGCGGCATAGCATTATTTTTTGATAATACGATGGATAAATGTTATGAGGTAACCTATACGCTCTATACGAGATTTCAAGACATCATTGTTCGGAGAAAATTACTTTTTTTTCCTGTGCGAGTCGAATGCACTAATCAACGCTAATTTGACGGCTAGGACGGTGATTGCAAGGTGCGTGCTTCTTTGCTTTGATTTTGATATATATAGAAAGGGACATAACCAATATTTTCGATGCTTTAATGTGCAAGAATACAAGCGCACGTCTATATCAGCAAAGAAAGACGCTGCATTATTAAGTCTGGTTGAGACACTTCTGGTTCAGCGTTGGAACATTTGCTAGATGGTAAGAAGAAACACGCCTGGAGCGATTGATCAAGCACTTGAAAGTTAAATTTCGTGCTCTTTCAGCCAAGAGGCATCGTGTACGCTAACCTTTTTTTTAAATCTCTCTCCTATAACCTAACACGATTTTGATCAGAGTCCTCAAATAAACAGTGTTGGCGGTTTCCCATTTCACCTACTGAATATGACATTACCGGATCCTTTGGAAATGGCAGGAGTTATTGAAGAAGGGAATCTGAACTATTTGAGGACACATCTGACTAACAAAATTTTGCACCCTGCTCCTACACGGGCGACGGTCTTACTGCTCGCCCAGGCTCGCAAGCGGCAATGTGCGCGGCGATCGAGAACGGAGGCAGTCTTCGGGGCTTCTGCATCAAACCTCAAAGGAGGTGAGGTTTGGAGGAGAATGTTAGGGTTGCTGTTTGCTCCTTCCCTCTTCTGCTATATAGTCCTAGTGTGATCTTTACTCGGCCCTGTTTTTGAATGTTCCCTAAGGGAGAGCGTTCGCGAACAGCAAGATTATTTAGTTTGGTAATTAAACACTTTATATTCAGTAATAACTGCCTAATTCAATGTTTTGTTCTTCGCTTTCGTGTAGTAGTGATTTTACGAATTTTTTTCATGTGCGCCGATTTTTCCTCCATAGACTGTCTGCATAGAATCTCTGCGCGCCGCAAAGTTTTTTCAACTCAAGAATTTCGAAGTTTTCAGCTATGACTGCACGCCGTTGTTGAATTTATCCGGGAGGACGACGCAGCCCTGTCCATATTCGCGATTAGCTGCGACATGCGCGCGCCGCTGCGCAATTTGCCGGGAAGATCAAAGAGGTGCTCAGCACGGCACGAGCCAAGTCCCGTTACCTCGTCTCTACGTGGATGGCATTTATATATGTAGTGGATAGTCTAATAGAATAAGAGAACGTTGAGGCGAAAGGAAAGCAAATATGATAGCAGGTCGCCGGTACCCGACATGGGCTGTGGAATTCAAGTGGTGTATCTGTGAAGGGAAAAATCCTTTTTCTTTTCCAAGGAATTAAGTTTTTTTGACAAGAAAATGATGAATTGCATACTGAACCCAATAATTTGCAATAGCTACAATAAGAAAATGTTTCAAAAGTTGCGCCTCCCTCCCTAGCTTGCGTAACTGTCAGCTGTCGTAGGATTTGGGCCAGATTTGGAAGTGAACACCCGTACGGAAAATGAATGCCTATTTGTAAGCTAAAAACGGTTTTGTGGCATATTCAATGAAAACATGACTGTGAGAAAAGCTCTTACTAGGGTTGGGAGTGAGAGAGGGTTGTCATGGGCGAACTCGGGCCGGAAAGTCGTTAAAATATTTGGAATCATCGGTCCAGAAGTTATATTCGGCTTTACATTATAGGCACGGACTTTAATGATGCGGGAGAGAACTGCCCATTCACACGAGTAGTTTACTGGACGTAAGCAAATTAAAGGAATGATAGTTTTCACCCAGAATTCTCCCTCATAACTTCATTATTTGAAATTGAAGGACACATTGTATCCATGATGTCCAAAATAAAGTATTTTCTGAGATTTTGGCTATACCCGTTAAAGGAGCCAAAACCTTGCTGAAAGTTCTAGAATCTAAGGGCCACGATCTAATATTTAGACAGGATTCGCATTTCTGGCGATAGGCGTGATCGTCAGTGTATTTTTTTATATGGGTGATTACGGTGTAAACATCAATTGAGAATCAGGCCTTCATAGGTATGCTAGCTCCCGATTGCAATCACGAGTTGACTACATCTGGGACTTGGGTAGTGCGGCAGCGCATGCGTTCCTGAGAATCAGAACGTACAGTGCGATGGGTCTTGGAGAGGTTTTTGGTTTGTTTCTTCGCTGCCACAACTCTTCACTTAAACGTGATCGGCCACATCTATTCAACGGGGGGAGCGGTCAACAGAATCGTCAGTCTGGGCCGTATGCGCGTGGCGTCGTGCGCGGTCGCAACTTGAAGATGGGCGCAGGATTTTGAATTTGATAGTGGGAGCAATGAACTGCGGTCCACAATAATCTATGGGGCACTAGTTCTTCCATAATGAGAACAATTTGTTTTCGAGTTCGAATTATCGTATTGAAAAACAAAGGTTTGTGATGGAAATTATCCACGTGTTGATTGAAGATGAATGTCGAAGAGGCGGACCGAGTGCGGGGACGATTCTATTGACGTACACTCATTTAGTCTCGTAACGTGCCTTCATCATGTTGCTAAGAAACGGCGCCAAGGAACAAAGCCTCTCAGCTGACACGATCAGTTGGGTGGGATATTTCATATACAAAAACAAAAGAATTTCATCTGAGGAATCCATTAACTCACATCGACATCAGCATCGTCCAATTGCTTTGAAGTTTCCCAGTACGAGAACTCTCCCCGTACTTTACTCCAACAATGAGAGATAACTCCACGTAATCTAGGCTCCAGTTCTTGCAACTCCATTTGGCATCGAAGCAGTTCCTCCGAAACTTCATCCTAAAGATTCTCACTAGCATCTTAGTCACCGAAAGCTAGCCTGAGCAATAAAAAATAGAGAAAAAAAAACAGAAATATACCAAATCTGAATCATCATCCTCTTCCTTCCCATCCTGGCTGACCATCACTTCACGCGAAACCGAATTCGTTGCAATTTCACGGTAAACGTGCTCTGTCGATGAAGGAATCAGACCTAAATTCGAGAACCATTGAAAGAAATTCAGTGAATGTTCAATACGGTGGGCAGAAGCAAAAGTACAGTAGCGGACAAAAGTATACCTCATCGATTTTGTCTTTTGACTAAACTCCGGTCAGCTCAACGGATCTTGCTGATATTTCAAAATGCTATTGAGGTAATAGTTTTTCTGTATCGGTGAGTGCAGCAATGAAGATTGGGAAATTTTTTTTTGCTGCTAACGAATTGCTGTCACTAGAAACTCTTTTTGACTTTTTGACTTATTGCGCTGACATCTCACACTTCTACTGCATCCTATTATACCGATTAATTGTCTCTAGTCTCCAGAGTCGAACGCTTCAATCAGATTCTTTCACTGTGTCGCCTGATAGGTAGCTGCCCCAAGGCGCACTTCCTTTTATGCCCCGCCTTTGGCGCCGCGCCACCTATCATCGAGTGTCCATGGGGCGTGGTTGTGAGTTCACTTCTCTTCGGAAACTGAACTCGTGCGTGAAACCTTGTGTGTACTCTCTAGTGATAACAACTGGCACACTCATGTGGAGAAGAATGCAAGAATTCTAAAAGGAAGGATTCTTTTGAGAACGGCCGAGTTTGCTTGTTTAGAGTATTATTAAACCGCTACAGAGAGAGCTCCAAAGCTGTCTTGCAAAGGCCAGGAATCCTGAAGAGAAATCCAGGCCTAACGATAAGAAAAAGAAAGTTCTGAACATACAGCGAATCCATTTCATGGCTCCACGATCATGTCCTGCTGAGCTTTCAGCGACCTCGGGTACCTTCATCGAGTATTTTACCTACTTAATGTTAGTTGTTATAAACTTGGTCATTCCAAAGAATCAAATTACATGCTTTTAATGTGGAACATGCGCGAGATTGAGTCCATTAGTCCACTAAAACGATTTTCCCTATCTTCATTCCTACTCTCAGCCAACTGTATTTATTTCAGTCAAAAACTGTTTACATAACTTGCTGAAATGTAAGGAATATTCATCTGTGGGGTGTAGCCGAAACCGTATAACTTTGGAAACGGAACGCAAAACAAAGCATTGGCGACATAAAATGAGTCACTGATAATGAGCCACACTCTTTTGAAGTTTGACACAACGGTGGGGCACGCTTCCACACCTTGCTGGCGTCAAATAAATGAAACATCTTTACTAACCTCTTTCTACGAGCATTCTTACGATGCGGCTTCCAATTTCGCGATAATGCCGCTCAATGTCTATCTCTTCAGGAACACTAGACATAGCAGACGACGAAGGTGAGCTTAAGTTGCAAGGAACGGTGGGATGCGTTCCATTCTCACGTTTTGTCTTAAAATTATAGGCTTACAAATGACAAGGCTCTAAAAATTTCCTTGTGGAAAATGGATCAATTTAGTTTCATTCAAGAACAGGAAGCCAGGAGCCATACCTCCCCATTTCGTCTCGGCCTCGTTTTCAGCTCTCCATTGCACCGCCCATTGGAAAGATTGTTTGTCGGAAATGAGTTGCTTGGACCTGGGCGATCCCATTCATCGTCTTCTTCTCTGATTTCCTTTTTCACCCTTGGTGAGTGTACTAAACCAAATCATATGAATGATTTTGTCAAGAAAACATTAACAATCCTACAAACTTACTTCGTGAACTAAGTGGGGATCGTGAAGCAAATCCGTTAACATGCAGAGCTCCATGGTGCTCACCAGCGCTAGAATCATGTACTGCTGATTCCCACGGCTCATTCTTGACAGAAACTAAATTACAAATGATTAAATAAGCCAACTTCAACTCATAACAACCATCAGACAAGGCACTCACATTTTCTGTCATCTTCGCAATCATCGCGTGAATGTAATCTCGTAGAAGACCTACGATTCGGCGTTGTGAAGTCTTCTTTGCGCATTTCACGACTTGCCGCACAGACCACATCACTGATCAATGGCGCCAACTTTGAGTCGGATCCTCGAGTTGGCCGAACATTCAGAGTTCCCGAGACTTTCCGACTGTATGCTTGACTAAAGCAGACAATCAAAAGAACATTATTTCTAAACGAAAGCTACCTAAAAGTTACCAACCTTCTCTCCTCTTTGCACTTTCTCTCTGACAAGCAAACATCTGTACTTGATCGGCGCGTAGTTCGCGAGCTCGACAATTCTAGAGAACTTATTCGAGAACGACAAGGCTGACGCTTGCGATGCTTCCACGGCTCTAAAAAGCAATGAATTATAGTGAACGATTAGAAGACCAAAGAATACGATCTTGCCTTAGTGAATGGGAGACCCAGCCCATCAGCGGGTGCCCGTCTACCAATGACATTTGGCCTTTTCTTCCTCGTCGAACTATATATGATTTTCCCTGGCCTTCGGATCTTCTCGGAACCGAACTATACAATTCATTGGGAACTACGTCCACTATAATGCACGCCGAGCTAATCGATAACAAATGACCATTACTCTTTTGAAGCTCACTCACTTTTTCTTCACTCTCTAAGCGGTCTCGAAATTGAGCTATGAAAAATTGTAGAAAACGTCACCCTTATTAGAAGCCCCACCCGCTATGGATAGGCCTCAGCTCATTTATGTGCTTTGATCACCATAAACATTGCTCATCTGCGGCCTCTTTTCTGCTAACTATGTCGCTTTTTACCCACGTTAAGATTTTCAGTAATCTGGGCCCATGGAGAACGCAACTACCACTGCGGCCGATGTCGCCAGTGTGCTGCTATATCTCATCGAAGCTTATGAAGAATTAATGAAAACTAAATATGATCAATAAACCATGCGCCAATTTTGAGGCCATTCTGCACACATATATAAAATGAAACGTTGCCACCATTGTTCAAATTCATTTTCTGAGTGCACTGTTGCACCATCCGCCGAAGCAACAGCCGCATGTCTACGCTAGCGTTTAACTTCACCCCGGCCGCTTAGAGCGGTAAACTCGGCTTTCCAACTGATTAGAAAGAGCTCCACTTCTCAGGTTTTTGACCTTTCTTGTTTTTTTTTCTTCACAGGCAACCCTCTTGTCACCTCTATGTTCTCCAGTAAAATATGAAACGATTACATAATTGCTCCATCCTACAGCCAAGAAAACACCACCCAGCAATGAGGTAAAAGACTGAACTGAGAATCGTTCATTCCTCTGTACCACAAAAAGTTTTGACCTTGGAAGAGCGATTTTGCCGAGGTATAGTTACTCCAATTTCTTGGAACGTTGAACTTTTGCGCGAGGAATGACGAAGCATGACACAACGAGAAGGGATCCTTCTCTTGTTGAAGGGCTGAACTGTTTTTGTTTCGACAAGGTTCATGGCATCCAAGAGAGATATTCATATGCAACAACCTAATATTTGATTGAACGAGGTTACTACTTTTGCACTAGACGTCTCAGTCAGACCATAGAGAATGCTCTATTCAGTAAATTTGTACCTAGTGCGAATGAAAGCTTTTTGCAAAAGATCTCATTTTGTTGCAATTCTTCAACTGGTGTTCCACAAAAGAATGTTGCTTTTTAAGTTGGAAAGCATATATTTAGACTGTAAAGACGTTAAGGACCAAACAGGAAATAAGGAATACTCAATCCAAATAAGGGGTCCACCACTTTGTGGCGCAGGCGGCTATACTAGTACGCAAGAACCATGACCGCATTACATGGAACTCACCATTGATATAGTAAGACTTCAGATCCTCCGGACTATATTTATCCAACAGCAGGGCTTTGAAGCTTTTCAAATACTCAGCATCTACAGGAGTAAGGAAATCGGCCTGAAGAAAAGAATAAACTCGGAAAATGAAAACACATACGGCACTGCACAATAACCTTGCACCATGTCCAAAAACGCTGTGGAATGTGATGCGGAGGCCAAATGTCCACATCATCCTCAGTATCATCCTCCGGAAGACCGCACAAGCTAAATTTGAAGAAGATAGCCATTTTTTCTTCTGCAAGAATTACGAATACGGCAAAAGGAATTTATAATAGCTAGTTAACAGCACATACGTCTGCTGCAACTCTTGTGTTGTTGTCGGTGATACTGGCGCAAATTCCCGAAGCCTGTAGGAAGGCATTGGCCTAAAAATCCCCGTATGAAAATCACGATTTCAAGAAAGATGAACTATGAATAGATGGCCTGGTAAAAAAAGCTACGCAAATTCTGAGACACGCTTTTCCGCATTTCGCACTCCCTTTTCGATACATATCGAGCCTCTCCTATTCATGTTACCTTCCTTACCAGGAACGGGCACAAGCAGGAAGCATTATATTCTTTCCTTTTCTTTTCTCTACACATTTGATATTAAATGCCTGAAAACAAGTCCAACCGTGTTCTCAAATCCTGGACGGGATACTCTCCAGTATTCAAATACGTGACCTCTCCATGAGCACGTCTTAGATAGTCAGCGGAGTGAGCGAGCATTTTCTCCAACTCATGCTGAAGACAGAGCTGAAAATATAAAAAAAATAGTGTAAACCCTGAGTCACCGTATTTATATAAGAACGAATTGAAGCTTTCTGGCGCAAAGAGAGGAAATAAACATAAAACCTAGCAAAAACCTTAAATGTTGAGTTGGGATAAACAAGGGATTCCTTACAAGCAAGCGCAAAAAAAAATCAAAAGCACTTACGAGATCATCCCTATCGAGAGTTATGTCTTCCGTGTTCTTCTCTAGCAGTTCCCGTAATTTGGGACATTGCTTTTCATAAGGAAATGGAATGAATTCTGGTGGCGGTTTGATCTCTTCACTGCTATTAGAGGACTTCCGACGAGTTGGTGACGGGGTTCCTGGAAACTAAATTTTTGAGCAAGCAATGAGATAATTTAAGCCATTTTGAGCACTCCCATATTCCATGGTGTGTTATAAGATGAGTACAGCTCACAACTTTTATTCGAAAACTGATTAGATGATGCCAAAATATTGCCGTCCTAGAACTAACGTCAAAATCTTTACATGCGCAGCCGCAAAAGTAAAAGCTCAATTGCTCATTACGCTATGACTCACAAGCTGCGCGATGTCACAACCTAGCCTCCGACTTGAAATTAAAATTAATCCCACTTTTCAAACAAAGCTTAACAAGATAACGACATCGCCTGCTTAGGGCACTTCTGGCCGCATGGGAAATGAGCAATTTTGCCGAAGCGGTCAACTCACCTCACAACCGAGGTTTTGAGCGATAACCATGCAAAAAATGCACGGCTAAAAAAATATTTTAGCAATGTTAAATGAATAGAAATCACTCGGGGGTATATAAATTCGGGCAGAAAGGGCAATGAGAAAGTAAAAGCCAAGTTTGCTTGCCTACGTTATGAGGAGTGGTTGCTCCAGTGAAAACAAATTTTGCGATCGGCATATGTTTGTGTAAATTCATGTACTGTCCTTTTTTATCTATAGGCTTTTGAGAATATGAGAATGAGGAAGCAACCAGGCTGTTTCGTACGACCGGAAAACCTCTGCTGTACTGATGCCTTGACCATGCTGTGACTATCATTAGTCTGTTTTAGTCATCTAATGGTGTGTTCATAGAATAAATATAAAAAGCCGAGAATAAATAATGCAAGCGTGACAAAAGAGATGTCATGGGTGAGACGCGTAACCGCGTCACAATGTTCGATCCGGGGCGCAAATTGGGACGCGCAACCTCGTCATACCGCCAAGCATCCGCCAATGTGCTCAGCTTACGCGAGATATGTTGGGAATCAATCAGAGGTGAACTAACCCATGCACACCCGACCACAGGTACGTATACGAAAGTGACAAAAGGTATGCACAATTTGCGCTAGTTTTAAAAGCGGACAGGCAAAGCTACCCGAAAATGAAAGTTCCCAATTAAATGGGTATATATGCATTCTGCTGGACGGTTCATTTTATCAGACTAGTTCCCTTTCTGGAAGCCAGCGATTCTCCTCTCCCTGGCAATCCAAAGCATTCAACACTACAACAAACATTTCCCTTTATTCTATTAGGAGAAATTACAATCCCACAGCTCCTCCTTCCCCCCTCTTTTACTGAATGAGCCCGTTTTGTTTGACGATTACCGCTCAATACCAACAGATCGACACCGCAACATTCAAATGTTTTCCAATTCTGTTAGCTGCCAGGTACACCTATCACATCTTACCATGCCTCAGGCACTTTCGAACGGACCAACGATAGGCAAACATACCGACAGGCAAACACGCCAGTAGCCTGCGCGGCAATAACTATATTTGTACTGAACTTTTAGCAAGTGAATTAATTGTGAACAACTGCCGTATAGAGCGAATTGTCTTTTTGTTTATTCCGTCGAGTTTGCATTCGCAAGCTCAACAAATTACGCACATGCATATACTTTAACAAAACCGAAAATAAATATAACCAAGGGGTATAATGACGAATTCGCAACTACGCAACCCGTGCGGGTTCAAAAGGGAATTTAGCTTAAATGCACTAAAGTTGTAAAACGAATCATAACCGACCCTGTCTCTTCCGCTTAGGGCGTGGCGATTTCACTGTCGTTTCTGCGCTTGCCGGTGAAAAAGTAGAACGCCGCTTCGGCTTCATCTGTAATTAATCAGTGAGTTGTGGTGAGACGTACTATTCTCACTTTAGTTATCTATAAATTCATGGAAAAGGCGACACATAGCGTTAGAACGAAGTCGGGGAGCGGCGTGACTGGGTGCCAGTCGGCCTCGGACGCTGCTACGCGGCACTCACAGACAGACTATCGATCGATTCGCATCGTCGCCACGGATGACGGTTGAATGCAAAAATACGAACCCTACGCTATTTGACTTCTCTTCTAGCTTCGGCTTCCGACCACCACGAAGCCATCTCCATCCACTTCCTTAAACAAACGTTGCCAAGGAACGTTTCAGGGCTGTGTCCGAAATTGAAACTTTTTTTAAAGGACCCAAACGTTTCCGTTACGCCTTTAACCTGATTCGCTGCAGGACCCACGCTGCATTCACGCATTTCAAAAATTATTTTTCGAGGTGTATTCGTGCTTGATGATCTGTGTTTTCCTTTTTTTCATTCACTAATTTTTTCAAAGTGAAAAATATGTGAGAACCACGGGGCTATGTACCAAAGTAGAGGAAGAGGTCACTGCGGTGCAGGGCATTCAAGGCCTTACATTCAGCAAGTAAGTTTATTTCTTTCTTGCAAAGACGGGCATGAATCGCTAGGAGAGAAGGTCGTATTTTCTTGCATTTTTGAAGTATGCGAAGCATTTCTTCGGATGAACCTCAGGTGAACATCCTGCGAGGAGGAGCGATATACCACTCTGGGCTTACTTCTTCCTGCGAAGAAATTGGCGCAAGGTGGATAGGCGGTGAGTGGTTTGCTAAAAAAAGCCTGGCGTCTATTCCAGTTAGGGGGGGGGCATCTTGGTGCGCGTGACTCCCAGCTACGATAAACTCTGAGGCCAGGCCGGAGTGTGGCCAGTTTAGGGGGTGGAGGGAGGGCAGGCACTTGGCAAGCGTAGAGAAGCTGGAATGTCGAAGTTTGCATTAGCTCGCCGAGAAACTGCATCATGATGCCCTCTAACTGGAATAGACCAAAAGGCTCTCGGACTAAGCCCTAGGTAGCAGGGAAGAACTTGAGAGAATTATGAAAATTGCGTTCACACACAAGTTCCTCCCCTCTTTCAAGGTTTACTCCTGAACTGAGCGTTTCGCTGATCTTGAGGCGATGTTTACGTGGTGCCCCCCTCCTAGCCAGATTGCGCCATCGGATTGGCGTTACTTCTTGCTGGGTGGCGCTACTTCTCCCCACACTACAACAGCGTCAAAGTGAAGGTCTCTGAAAGTGCCTCCGCTGCGCTTCTCCCAATCAGTAAGAGATTTGCATACCTGTGGCATCCTGTGGGGATCATGCTTGCTCTCGCGGGTTTCTTTCTCATGGCCACTTTTTTCGTTGTCGGTTGCTTGTTTCTACAAAGCTAGGTGGCCTTTCGTGTTTTTGCGTATGGTTGGGGGTCTTTTTATTGAGACTGTTCAATGGGTATTATAGTAGTACGTTTCTGGAGTTTTTTTTCTTGACAATTTGAAAGGAGTCAGTTGATCTTCTATTCAATGACACCATCTGTATACGAGCGAGTTACAGTGCCCACATTTGATCCCTCGTATCCATTCTGGCTTTGCTGTTTGATGCAGATTCCACTCTTTCTACGATGCTTTCTAGATAACGCTCAGAACAACTCTTGTCGCTCCCGCCAATAGACGGTTGCATTGTGGGAGTAGGACATTCAGATCGGATGATCAATCCATCGTCCTCGTTTGTTGATGTGGGGGCTGAGCTCTCGGCGGGGAGTTAAAGATTCTAGTCTGCGCGAGCATCATTCATTTCTGCCAAACTTCCTTATCCTTCCTAGGATCGAGTTCTAGGGGGAATGCTCCCCTATTTTGCCATCGCGCCCTAATTTGTACGTGAGATATATTGTACATACTGCTGTTGTACTTCTCGAACATAGTGCTTGCGAACGGAAGAAAACTTGTCAAACGTTGTCAAAGCCGGATCAGAAACATTGAAACATGCGAAAACGGTAAAGTCTGTCAAAACCCTCAGTTAGAGACAGAGTTTTACAAAGACCATCATCACGATCACGGATCGGTCCCTTTGTGTGTGGCCAGAAACTCCTTTTGGATTTATTTGATCTTTGATTTGATTTGCTTTTTTGTTATTTAGTTGCCTGTTTTTTTTAGGTGCTAGGAAGCAGTTAGTGATGATTATTTTTTGAAAGAAATAAGAGGCGTCCGCAGAGGACATTTCTGTTTTCTAGGACTAAGCCTACGATGGTGGAAGGCAAATGTGCTGCTCAACGCACTTCGGCTCTACCCTACCCTCGACCTCCTGCAGGCTTTGTCCACTTCACGTGCGTGCTTCATTGGGATGTGGTGTCTGAGAAATGGGTGAAGGCGTTGTCTTCTTATGCTGCGGACAGGAAATTGCAAATTCTTTTCACACCGACTTCTTCAGATCACATTTTTTAAAATAGAAAACAATTGATTACGCGCCACGTTGGGTTTAGAGAATGTGTTTGGGACAGCCCTCATAACTCTTCTCTAATCATTTATAGGATCCTTTTTGTGGATGTTCGAAACTTGTAAAATGTCTCGAGACGTAGAAACTTTACAATTATCCATGAGCAGAGCTAAGGATTTACCGAAGTGCTTTGGAAAGACTCCCGAACCGTGCCGAGCACCATGAAATGCATAAACTTGACCTTTTTTTTAAGCCGAATACGAAACATTCCATAAACTTGGCTAATGGATGTGTTTGTAAGAAACATTCAGTTCCACAAGCAGGTTGGTTGTTTTCGCTAAAGTTCCGCTCCTGGGGTTTTTCATAGTGAGGAACAAGCTGGTAATACTAGGAAAGTTGCCAGGCTGCTGCTTGTTCCGGAAATGCACAATTTAAGGGTGATCTTACAATGTGAAACGCACTGTATTAGCTTCAGCTGTATTGCCGTGTCAAAATGAACTGTGCAATCCCAAAAATGAGTTCCTCTCTGATCTTTTCCTAGGCCGTTTCTTATAAATTATGAAATGCTGAACTTTTTGGCGTCTTGCTTCGAATTCCCTCGTACACTCAATTGCGCATTTGTATTTTTGTATTTCTCAGTGTACTATTCCATTGAATGTATTTAGAAATGGAGGCTGTTGAACGAATGAAGGGAAAGCGAGTAATTAAGCCGATTGTATATGGTAACACAGCAACACCTTTTGGCTATAAGCGAGAGTCTGATCAGCATACTCACCAGTGGACGGTATTTCTCAAGATGTTTAATGATGAGGATCCAACCGAGTTCATTCGCAAGGTTCAGTTCAAGCTCCACGACAGCTACGCCGTCAACACAAGAGGTAAAGTTGGTTAATACTTTTGTCCCATTTTGTTATTTATTTATTAGCTCATTTATCTGCATTGGCTCGCAACTGGTTGCGTTACGTTGCAGCTTAAAAGAGGTGTCAAAACTCGCGATGGGAGTACAATTTCGGCGCGTTCGCAGCGAAAGCACGATTCGAGAGGAAGTGAGATCGGTTGAGAGCCGTGTGCTTTCTTTGTGGAACTAGTTGACATAATCCATCGTAGAAGACAGATGAAAAATGCCAAGTTTCTCACTAGAGATACTACTAGAGGTTGGTGGTCTGAATGAGTTACTAGATATACTACCAGAGATTAGTTGGTTTAATTGAAAATACTACAACAGGTACGAAATCTTCTACTCGCAAGTATCAATTGATCCGTGTTTCCTGACTCTTGTGGACTTGGATATCTGTCTAATGTACAAAAATCGTCAAAACTTAAATCTATAGATAACATTGCTTTTGCGCATAGTGAGGTGGTTTTGGTTCGTTTCCACTTATAATTCATACTTTCTTGGATAGACTTTAACACCACACCTCTTTCGAATGCGATAGTTGCTGAGGGTGTGGTTCACTCGGACAGAAAGCGACTTTCTCGTGTTTCGCAGCGCGAAACATTTTCCGCTGCAGGAACCTCGGGTCCACTGATTTTTTCGCTGCGGGAACTTCGGGTCCCTGATGATCAGAGTGGACCTTGAGTTCCCGCAACAAGAATGTTTCGCGCTGCGATGCGCAAAAAATTCCGCTTTCTGTCCTAGTGAACCACACCCTAGTAGCTGATATAATCCATCGTAGAAGACAGATGAAAGTGCCAGTTGCATACCATCAGTTCGAGTAGAAAGTGTTTAGGTCTAGGTTTAGCTTTATTACGTGTGCAAAAGGCACATGTGGGAAAAGCACACCGATACATTTTCGAAGAAAAGGAATAAAACATAAGTTTCACAGTAGTAAAACAACAAAAAAATCAGTCAAGATATCGTCAAATCTGACAGTAACAGATGGACAGGCGGTTTAATTCAGCAGTCTCGGAAAACGCTAGTACTCTACATCGTATCTTAGCAGCATATTTGCCACCCGATGTCTGAATTGAGCCGGTGATATTTTGGAGGTAACTTTTTTGCCAACGATCTTGTGTTGATCTTCTCTTAGGGGTGGGGGGGGGGCAATGGGAAGGATCCACATTGAGGGATGGTGGGGTTTTCAACAATGCACTTCGGTGGTTTATGAACTTCCATCTGTAAGCAACAATGACCAGTTGAATGGAGCCATCTGCCAACTTTTTTCCCATGGGTTCCTGCAGAAACCATTTTGCGACGTTTGCTGTCGGCGGTATCTGAGCTGCATTCAAGGAAGTCATCATTGGTCCAAGTTACGCAGTGGACAGCGCTTGCGATGGGCGAAAATCCTTGTAATTTCTTTTGGATGCCCGACTGCTGTGGAACGAGACTGCGAAACGCCTAGAAAGCGAGGCCCAGTGCTGGTGCTCACGAATTATCGGCGCGCTTGGGTGCAGTACAAACCAGGGTGAATATCGCTTGAGGATTCCTCAACGGCACGTCGAGAACTCTGCCCGGTCAGGCACGATCTCTCGCGCGGACATTCACACTCGCCATGGGCGTGCCGTCTGTGTTCTCCGCGCGGATGTTCACTCTCGGCACTACCTTCACATAGTAGAGAGCTATGGTCGAGGAAATCCTCGACCGTTATTCATCCTGTTAGAAACGGTCGCCATCCAGCCGGCTGGGCTACCGTAAGGAAGTTTTGAATTGAAATCAAACCAGTGCCTAATTTGGATGGGCGGCAAAGACAGCGGATACTCAGTGCTTTTGCGCCCTTACAGGAGGGACCTTCCCAATATGTTGTCAATTGGACGGCAGCTTAGTCAGACTTGTCAATCATACGCGACTTCACCAGTGGCTGTCAATCGGAGAACTACTTCGTTGTTGGCGAGTTCTCAAGAAATGCTCTATTTTGAACTGCTTCCTGCCGGATGGCGACGCTTCGATGGAAACGAAATTCGAAGCTCTGTCAGGAAGTTATCGAACTTATATGGGATTGCTACCATGGGTTCGGAATAATATCTTCATATTTTTCTTCTGTAACTTTCTCTGCTTTTGGACAACTGCTAAAATAGACCCCTTGGAAAGGATTGCAAGATTGAGAAATTGAAGAGGCGTTTCACAAAAGTGTATATCATGTTGCTGTCTGAAGTCTATTGGTTACTTGTGTGAAAACAATGTGTTCCTCCACAATGTTCGTTGCAAAGGGCTTGCAACTTCTTGTAATAATTTTTTCCATTTTCATTTTCTTATTTGCCGGTAAGTGCGCACAAACAATATCACTTGCAGTTAATGTGTAAATCGTGCAAATAGTGCGAGCAAAAATTACTGATCATTAGGCACTAAAGTTACTCCAAAATGTTCTCATGAGAAAGTTGAACTCTAAAAACTTTACTCTACAGCGTGTAAACGAAATTCTGGACTATGAGTAGTTCTTTTAGTAATGGTCTTGTCAATAAATGTTGGACAGGCGATTATGGATTACTGTGGGAAAAACTATTTTTTTTCAGTCTGTGAGAAGCCTCCCTACGAAGTTACTGAAACAGGTTGGGGAGAGTTTGAAGTCCAAATGCGTATATACTTCGTGGACGTCAATGAAAAACCTGTGAGTTCTCGAACAATAGAATCTCTGGTTTAGACAGCTGAGAAAAGTTGATATTGTATGAATGCTTTTTTATGTTTATGATTCTGAAGGTATTTTATATCAAGATGATTCTTCCATATCCTATTGGAGGCGGTCATATGGCGCGATCACATTGGCATTCGAGCGCACAGGCCGCAACTACCACATTTTGCTGAGGCCGGACAACTCGTCCACATCACACCCTCAAGATCGGCAGTTGATCGATCTTTTGGATTGAGTCTCACGAATTGCTTTCAATCTCAAATATCTAAAGAGCAGTGAGATAGTTTGTGTTGACCTGACGCTTAGGCAACAGGAGCGAAACGGAATATGCGGTGAGGACAAGTTGTCCGGTCATGATAAGATGTGGCAGTTAGACATGTGTGCTCTAATGCCAACGGGATCGCGCCATATGACGCATACCCATATCCATATCGCTTTTCATTTCTTGGGAGCTTTGTGAGTCGCGCGATTCGCAAGCGATTTGTTGTCTAGTCCATCATCAGGCTGAGGCATACCAGGTGTATTTAAGATCACAGTTTCGTCATTCCATCTGGGCGTTTTTTTTCACGATATCGCTTTTATACTTTGAGAATGGTAGGCTCGAATTGAAGCATGGAGTGTTGTTCTGTACACAGTAACGATGACGTCGGTATTCCCGCGCTTCTCAGAAATCAAGCAGAAACCAGTAAAGTCTCTGTAGTTAGCGGACATTATTGGTGTACACAAAGGCATGCGACGCGAGCGAGGATCGGGCAGGCAGGCGACGGCAAATCCAAACTGCAAGCGCTTGAATTTAACATCTGGTGGCCGTATGCAGCAGTCTCTCATCCCGGAAATGCGTCATGACAGCAGATATGTAGGTTTTTGTAAATACATCCTCGGCCAGGGATCGTTGCATACGGCCCTAGGTTGCGTCTGGGCGCATATAATGATTCTGGATGCCCGAGCAAGTTCTCGGTAGCATGTGGATTTTCAAGTCCAGAACGACCATCTCAAGCTTATACAAAATGATACTGTATCTTTAGGCTCAAGCATTGTTCAATACTTGGCAAAGATCAGTTTCCGCTGATTTTAAGCTGGAGGGAATTGACTTCAAATGCACTCGCGATTTTGGACCACGGGGATGTGCGCACCGCATCGAAAAACTCGTTTGCTAAATTACTGCCAAACTAAATACCAGCAAAAAAGGCAAGACGAATGATTTTCTAAAAAAGGAATTCTATGTATCCCATTATTTTGTATAAGGTTCGTCTAACGATAAGATCAATCGTGCGTTGTGCAGCTCCAAGGGGAAGAGTAAAGTGCCATTTGAGTTCTTGGGAGGGGAGGGTTGCATCTGGGCTTCAAAAAGAGCCGACTGGATGTACGATTCGTAAGCCTTAACCTCAACCTCTTCAAAGGTGAAACGAAGCGTTCATTTTTGTACAGCACTTGAATATCTTTCGAAAAGCTTATGAATCGATGTAAAAAATGAAATTAAGAGAAAAGAGGATCTCACCTGCAATTGTAAATATCAGATAATTCAACCTTTTTTATATTACCCTCAGTTTCATAGGGCGTGCTTTTCAGCGCGTCACGTTTCGTTTATGAAGAAATCAGACTAGAAATTGTCAGGGTTTGCAGCTGAAGCGTACGCTTGGTTTTACGTGTCCATTTTCCAGTTGTGAAATAAGACAATGCCATAGATGTGACCAGGACTATGATTTGTGAACGGAATCTTAACAATTTCAATTCTTGTGCTCAGGGAGGGTGTAATGTTGAGATAATGCCAAAGACAGTAGAGTTGCTGACACATGGCTGTGCCAGTCATCAGTCTGTGTTCAGCAGTTTTGTGAAGTCGAGAAATGTTGTTTTTTGAAGGTTATTTTTAGGTTTAAAACCACGGCTGCTTCATGGTTCTATTAAAATTATTTAAGGTGACTGTCTTTCACTACCTCCGTCTCTTTCAACCAGTCGTGAATCTCCCTAATGGGTCCACTCAAGTCATTACGGAGCATTACGATGAGATTGTGAGTGACAGTATTATTACCACTTTCTCCTTACTTCCCTAGCGTCCCTGAAGGAGCATCAACTGGGCACAATTCATTTGTAAATATCCATTCCATGGGCGTTTTCGAGTCAGCGCTGACTCTGATTCGTGATCTAAGTTGAGGCTAATATAATCGTTTTAGGTTTTCCAAGAACCGACAATACCTATGTATAAAGCGTTGATGATTGGAGAAGGAAAGAAACACGACAGGAAGAAGTTCCATACTGATTGTGAGAGTTTCATTTTTTTCATATTGAAGAAATATTTAACAATTGATGGCGTTGCGCGTTTTGGCGATTCTGGTCGCATGGGACCGGCGCGATTTTCGAACGCGGTTGCATACCCTCACATAAGCGAACTGTTTGTGATCAATCACAAGTATTAATGGAACGAAAACATTTCTACAATGTTCAATGGGTAGAAATTATTCAAGCAAAAATAGTTTACATCCAAAAAACATGAAATGAATGAAAAAGCGGAAATTAGTCTCGCCGCAGAGGATGTCAGAACCATTATTGGCTCATCTGTTTCGGTAAAAACATCTCTTGTCATCCACAGAGCTCTGATCCTCATTATATATTCGTTTTTACTAACACGCCCATGAAAATAGAGAAGAAAACGAGTTGTAAATCGTGAAAAGCTCAAGAAACCTTTCATTCTGTGAACCTTGTCATGGTAGGTAAACTAAGATGTGCTGCAACCCACTCGCGTCAATGTCAGCTATAAGTAAGCGACACGAAGACCTCTTTGTAGAGTACGAGCCACCAGCGGCTGACGGGCTTGCAATGAGAATTTAGTGACCAATTTATGTGTTGTGATGTGTTTTTCCTAACCTATACTAATTCACGCCATCCTGGCAGTGAGGATCTTTTTTCACTTCAATAATATCACTATCTTCGAAATGTGGTTCCCTATAACCCGATATGGCAGAAAATATTTTTTCTCAATGAAACTTCCATGAGGTTAGTGATTGTCGTAGTCACGGCCATGGCACTGACTTTTGACATGAACGCAAAATTGGCACCAAGTTACATCAACATGGCGCAACACCTGTTCTCATTGAATTCGTTGAAAGCTTGCATGCATGGGTTGAGTGTCTAGTCAGGAATGTGAACTTCATTTCAAACGCTATCTCCAACTAGCGCCAATTTGGGGAGCTCCAAATGGCACCAATCTGGTGCCAGTTGGGGCTTTCCGAATTGTCAAATTGCCAAATGGATGTCACACTCGATTCGGACACTGAATTAATGACGTATGCATGTTTCCACTAAACTTGGCGGGAAGGCATGTTGTACCATACCGATGCAATTCAGCACCCATGTTGAAAGTAAATGTCATATTTTGTGACCAGTTGGCGCCGCAGCATTGCGCGCACAGACAGGTCTGCGGCGATTTGGGATAGTGCGGTCAAATATCCGAGGTTTTTTGGGCAAATTCTCAAATTTGCTCAATGCACCATGAATATTTGACTTCTAAGCTAGATTCTATCCGCTGAATCCATCGATGGCTTTTGATCTTCCCTCCTTTGTCAACCAATCGTTCGTTTTCCCGGTCTCGGACTGCTCTGGACCGACGTATACTGACTGCTCTCGTTGTAAACTCCGCCTATCTCATTGCATGTCCCACCAATCTTTTTCCTCCTCGCAAACCTCCCTCTGAACTGTCTCTGAGCGATGTTATATTCTTGGTGCATCCTCCGCACTCATGAGAAATTCGCTTCCTTTCCTTCGCCCACTTCTCTCCCCGTCTCCAGGACTGCTTGGCTGAGTTACAAAGTTTCGTGGAGAATTCAGTCCACTCTGGACATGACCCACCCGCCAATAGCAGTTGAGCTCCACTCCTTCACCCAACTTTATCCACCTTTCCCAGTCTCTTGGACTTCTCGCAACTAAATTATAAGTTTAGGGCAAACTCCGTCCACGCACGCCCCACCCACCAATAGCCATTGACTCCCCCCTCCGTTGACCGACTCGACTCACTTTTTCCCCAGTCTCCGAGAACTTTTGGAACCGAGTTATGGATTTCTGTCGCGAACTCTGCCCACTTTGGCCATGTCCCGCTCGCCTAATAGTATTGTGCTACACTCCTTCACCCACCTCTATCCACCTTTTCTCCAGTCTCCGGAGCTTGATCAGAGTGGGCGGAGCTTGCGGCGGGAATTCATAAGTCGGCTCCAAGAACCGGGTTATGAATTACCGTTGCAAGCTCCGCCAACTTTGATCATGCCCCGCCCACTGGTGACAGCGGACCTCTACTCCTCCAGCCATCCCTATCCACTTTTTTCCGGTTCACTAACCATAAGACTTCTCCGGCCCGAAGAGCACCTTACCAGGAAGGTCTTTCAGGACATGGAGCCCTTTCCGAAAACGGTTTCTTGCATGATAGAGGATCACATGCATGGAGTACAAAACTAGGCTCCATTTTTTCTGAGCGGCCCTCTGGATGCCAAAAAAGAAGTGAAAAAAATTTCTTCAGAAATCGGAGTTTTCACACCTTCAACGTTTTTTCATACCACTCGTTATGTTAAGTGGACGTACAATAGAAGGTTTTCTTCACCTAAACGTTGAAAACAGCGTGGAATAAAGCCAATACCAAAAATTGTACATAATAAGAGCTCAAAAGCACAAGGAAGTTTCATCAGAGTCGTTGACGTCCATTGTACAGCGGTTCGCATGGTCGAGTGGATAGCGTGATGGACTCTGGTTGGCACGGTTTGTTCGAAGTTGTTGGTTCGATTCCCCTCCATGCTCGGAGTTTTGCATTTTCCCGATTATCACTATTCTGCATTTGCACGTGCTTGCGCGTGAGCTTAAAGCCTATAGGTATCATTTCCAAGAACTTTCTCCCACAATTCTGCGATATTTCGTAGTACCACGTTTCTTCAGTTGTGTACGAAATTCCGTTTACAAGCCATAAATATGGTTATAGCAGTTATGGTAAAACTCAATGTAGCATCTGAATCACAGGCGCGGATCACACCAACAAAAAGTGAAGTTGTCATTTTCTTTGCAGAGAACACCTACCTCATTTTCTCCGAAGGCAGATTGCCGGCGTTGGACATGTCCAGGATGCTTGTCGACCTATGCCAGTGCCCACCCAGGCATACGCCATGCATTGACGAGATCAAGGGGCGATTTCGGATGGCCCCATGGGCAGGAGCTGCGGAGGGAGTGTAACTATCCACCAAACGTGCCGCTTGCTGTCATTTCAAAGCTGTCTCCAAGTGGAAAGCGTGCATGCCGTAATGAATCTAGGCTAACCCATGGCCCAATTTTCGAATTCGGGCCAAAATTTTGATTTTCTCTCAAATTGCGGCTATAAGGGTAAATATAGGCGCTGATTACGATTCTGACGTCAATTTTTGACGGAGGCGCGATATTGTGCCATTTTAACCTCCTCGAGCGCCAACTCGGCGCCGTTTTAGCGCATACAATTTCCCCCAATTCGGCAGAAAAGCTGAATCAGAAAAAGGTTGATGATGATGCCTGATGTAAGAACAGTACCTATTTTTCTCGGTGGTAACACATTGGATCAATTAACAGCGCCTACATGAAATGCAAAATTTGTCATCAGCACGGACCGATCCCTCCACCGATTTTTATACCTTTTTGGCGCCTCACTAGTGGTTCCTTGCGCTCAGAAAAAAATGAGCCTAGTTTGTACTCCATGCATGTGCCCCTTTATCATGCAAAAAACCATTTTCAAAAAGGCTCCCATGTCCTGAAAGACCTTCCTGTTAAAGACATTGCTCCCCTAACACTTAACTTTTTACTGAACAAAAACCTTACTCCAAACCGAGTTATGACGTTTTTTTCGTGTAGCCACTGCTTTTTTGGCGAACCGCCCCCCCCGTGGTCCCCCTAGTCGATGTGACCTCCGATGCAGACCTTACCCCCGCTTTTGGCGCAGCTTCGGTGTTTCGCTACTTCAACCACATTGAACGACATTGAGACGCCGGTAACGCGTCTCCCTTTGCGCACCTCGTGGATCATGGACCCGTTACCGTGTCTCACCCCTTACTCGTCCCTTTTTCTATGGCCAGCGCAGCTTTTTCCCGGAATGTGTTTGTCTCTCTGTCTATGGATTAGAACAGTAACATTATCTGGAGCGGACCAGTAGTGCACTTGTTTATTCCAAATATGCTCCAGTTTAGAAGAAGTTTTCTAAAGCTCACCAGAAACCGCGCTTGTTACAATACATATTTTCATCAATCTTTCTCATCGACTCGTCAATAAAGGGTAGTGAAGTAAATCAAGTCTACTAAGAACAGAAAAATACATGTCTTCACTTGTATACCAACATCCAAAAGCAGCTTTGGCATAATCCACTACAGAACACAATGACTAAAGTTTCTTTTTCATTAACCATACATGTCTTTAATCGACCTTCGCAGTAACATCCTCTATTACCTCTACGGCATTGACGTTACTGAAGTATGTTTTTGTACCATCTGGTGCTTTTAAAAAGTTATCAATAAAATTCCAGCTCCGAATCCGAGTGCGCGGGGGTCCGCACTCTGCAAAACTCGCCACCGCCCACACGGCCAAAACCAAAACGCGCGCGCTCTGTCAATGTGTTAAATTGGATCTTGGTCGTTCAGATACACTTCATTTCGAATGCAGCGCCAACGCCACCTGTACGGCCGACCCTACTGATGTGTTTTGTCTTCGTAAGACCTTGCCCACCCATCCCATACTTGACCCGGTCTTTCTAGGCCGATCTTCAGGAGCTAGGGAATTTCGTGACAGACATACAGAACGCAGAAGCGCTTCATGTAGTAAGTAGGATACATGTAACAATGTAGCGCCAAACAGTTACTCGGCGCTATGGAAGGTCAGGTCACTCGAGCCGCATGATGATTGAAGCCTAAGGTTTAGGTTCAGTCTTAGAATTACCCATTGGATTATGCCTGAAGCCTAATGGTAAGCTTGGGCGCAGACTCAGGCTTGCTACGAGCAAATCAGATGTTACCTTTTTAGATGATCAATCATGAGGAGAACCACACTAATAAATCTGCTCACTTGAATGGAGTTGCTTTCCTTTCGCTTGTCACTGGATCAGAGCCTCTGAACTACCGCAAGGTCGACTAGGAAGGGTAAACAAACTTAGGGGGACTACTTCGTCATCCATCAGCATCAGTCAGCATCCATAGGGTATCGTGAAGTTCTTTTAAAGCAACTTTTACCATTTTTTCGGCGACAGTTCCCTCGATCCTTGGTTTTTACGTAC